TGATGTCCGTCCGAACAGACATCGAGTCTACACCTCTGCAGAAGAAGCTTGAAGGTCTTGCCGTCGCTATCGCCAAGCTTGGTGGTGGTGCTTCTCTCCTCATGTTCTTCATTCTGCTCTTCCGCTTCTGTGCTTCTCTTCCTGGTGATGACAGACCAGCTGAGGAGAAGGCTTCTACTTTTGTTGATCTCCTTGTCGTGGCTATTGCCATCATTGCTGTCGCTGTACCTGAGGGTTTGCCGCTCGCTGTCACTCTTGCGCTTGCGTTTGCGACTACACGTCTCTTGAAGGAGAACAACCTTGTTCGTGTCCTTAGAGCGTGCGAGACTATGGGTAACGCGACTTGCATCTGTTCCGACAAGACAGGAACTTTGGTACGTTACATCCTCTCAAACAACAGCTCTTCTAACATCCTAGACCACGAATAAAATGACAGTTACCGCCGGCCGCTTCGGTTCCTCGAGCTTTACCTCAGACATCCCCACCTGGGCCACCACCATCTCTCCCGAAACCCGCAAACTCATCACTCAATCCGTTGCCGTGAACTCCACTGCCTTCGAGGGCACCAACGAAGGCGACGCCGCGTTCATCGGCTCCAAGACCGAAACCGCACTGCTCCAGCTCGCCAAAGACCATCTCGGCATGCAGTCCCTCTCCGAAGCACGAGCGAACGAACAAATCGTCCTCATCGAGCCCTTCAACTCTGTCAAGAAGTACATGCTGGCTGTGATCAAGGTCCAAGCTGGATACAGGGTTCTCATCAAGGGTGCTTCGGAGATCATGGTTAGCTTCTGCTCTACTGAGGTTAACCCATCTACTGGTGTTGTTGAAGCTTTGGATCGCAAGGCTGCTGACGATGCGATCATGGCTTTTGCGAGGAAGTCGCTGCGTACTATTGGTTTGGTGTACAAGGACTTTGAGGAGATGCCTGATCTTGAGAACCTGGGCGACTTGACGCTTCTTGGTATCGTTGGTATTCAGGATCCTGTTCGAGAAGGTGTCCCGCAAGCTGTGCAGAATGCCAGACGCGCCGGTGTCGTTACACGTATGGTCACGGGTGATAACCTTGTCACAGCACGCGCTATCGCCACAGAATGCGGTATCTTCACCGACGGCATCGTCATGGAGGGTCCAGAATTCCGAAAACTCTCGGAGGAAGAGCTTGACAAGGTTATCCCTCGTCTTCAGGTCCTAGCTCGTTCTTCACCCGACGACAAGCGTGTTCTTGTTACGCGTCTCAAGGTCTTAGGCGAAACAGTCGCTGTTACTGGTGATGGTACTAATGATGCGCCTGCTCTCAAGGCAGCTGATATCGGGTTCTCGATGGGTATTTCGGGTACGGAGGTTGCGAAGGAGGCGTCTGAGATTATCCTTATGGATGATAACTTTGCTTCCATCATCACTGCGCTGAAGTGGGGACGGGCTGTCAACGATGCGGTGCAGAAGTTCCTACAGGTATGTCTTTTGTGCTTGATGTTAAATGCGTACTAACTTTTCAAGTTCCAAATCACTGTCAATATCACCGCCGTTTTGTTGTCTTTTGTTACATCCATGTATGACGACAAGATGGAACCTATTCTCAAGGCAGTCCAGCTTCTCTGGGTAAGTTACTCCATCTGAGATGTCGCTCGTGGTACTGACCTATGTAGATCAACCTCATCATGGACACCATGGCTGCTCTCGCCTTAGCCACCGACCCCCCAACTGACTCCATCCTCGATCGACCTCCCCAACCCAAGTCCGCCCCCCTCATCACCCTGAACGTAAGTCACCTCTCACCTTCCATTCACCTTCACCTCTAACAACCTCAGATGTGGAAGATGATCATCGGTCAGTCCATCTTCCAAGTCGTCGTTGTCCTGGTTCTCTACTTCGCCGGCGACTCCATCCTCGGCTATAACACCTCCATCGCGGCCGAAAAGCTCCAGCTCGATACCATCATCTTCAACATGTTCGTCTGGATGCAGATATTCAACGAGCTCAACTGCCGTCGTCTCGACAACAAGTTCAACGTGTTTGTCGGCATCCACCGCAACCTGTTCTTCATCCTCATCAACGCCATCATGATCGGTCTGCAGATCGGAATCATCTTCATTGGAGGCCGTGTCTTTGACATTGACACTGATGGTCTGAATGGTGTGCAGTGGGCGATTTCTATCCTCATCGCTGCGTTTAGTTTGCCGTGGGGTGTGCTGGTTAGGATCTTCCCTGATGAGTGGTTTGCAAAGGTTGTTTACTTCTTTGCGCCGCCTTTTGTGTGGACTTATAAATGGATGGGTAGGGGTTGGGCGAGATTTATGAGGTTGTTTAGGAAGAGTAAGAAGGCGGATGATGAGGAGGATGGCAGTTCTTTGGAGGGGAGGGAGAGTAAGGAGAAGTCGCCTGTCGTCGGGCCCATGATTGTTGAGCCTAGGAACTAAGTCAGGAGGTAGTTGGCAAGATTGTGTGAATGGTTGGGAAAATTGGATAACTGGGAAGGACAAAAGGAAAGGATGGGACTGGTCCAATATGTTGAGTATTTCATTGCGATGGTCTGGCGTTGATTAGAGGAACAAATAGCGATAGCACTTTCATTGAATAACTTTCAAACTCTAATTGCACTATTCCTTCATTTAGTCTATAGAGTACCCATGAGCGGCGGGCGAGAAAACAGACTTCAGAAGAGGGGCTAAAATAAATTCAGAACAGAGTATCCTAAACTTAGGCTAAATTACCTTGGTCTTTTGTCACTTGCGAGCGAGGTCCCCGGTTGCGCCTCTAGGGATCAGTCAGAGCCTCATCAATGTTACATCAAAGGTCACTACGCAAGCATCATAGGTGCCTACGTAGTTTCATTGCCTTCTGACTCATACGGAGTGGCTTAAAACAATTGAAAAGCCGAGTCCCTCTGCCCAAGCCTCGTGACATGGTCATAGCGGATCTCGAAATGTTGGATCGACTCTGGCTTCCTGTTACATGATTGGCTCCCGCGTATACCTGTCTTAACATGGCAGGTCTGTGAACTCGGCGCATGTCATTCACGAAACCAGGCAACAAGGCTGTTGATAATCGTATAATGATTAAAAGGGTACCCAGAGACTCAAGTAATTGTCTTTTCAGATCATTCGAATCGTTCATCTCAAAGCATCGCCAAGATGGAAGACCAGCAAGACAGCATCATGAGCCAAGGCCTCTTCATCGGCCTCTTGGAGATGATATTTCCTGGCATGACTTATCTCCCCTACTTCGCCGCCTTCGCCTTCTTGATAAAATACGCTCTTGAATCTTGGTCCGAATCCATCACTGCACGCTTCATCTCCACCGTTGAAATTCACGCTCAGGATGAGACGTACAACTATCTTATGAACTGGGTCTCGCGCAACAACATCTCCCAAGACAATTATCGCCTCCAGGCTTCCGCTGCATTGAACAACTCCTCCTTCAACTGGTCAGAAGATCAGGATGATAAACCTGATGTTGACGAGGAGGAGGAAGATGATCCTGTGGGCAGACAGATCAACGAGATGCGGTCCAAATCATCGACATTGCTGAATAATGCTAAGCCTCTCTACTGGACTCCTGCTTTCGGCACGCATTTCTTTCGATATGAAGGCCGCATGCTAGCGTTTACCAGATCGCTTGAGGGTACAAACTATACCTCTACGCCGCGACAGCCTGAGAAGCTGGCCATATCCTGCCTTGGCCGGGACGCCACTGTCTTGAAACGACTGCTGTACAACGCTCGCATCGACTTTTCTGAGAAGCAGAAAGGAAAGACTGGTATCTTCCGCGCGACCAAGCTCTATAGTGAAGATGAAATGTCTTGGACTCGATGCATGTCCAAAGCAACAAGACCTATGTCTACGATCGCCCTGGATGAACATATTAAGGAAAAGCTTATCAAGGACCTACGCCGATACCTAGACCGTCAGACCAAGCATTGGTACGCGACAAGGGGCATTCCATATCGTCGTGGTTATCTCTTCTCAGGTCCTCCCGGAACCGGCAAAACAAGTCTAACCCTTGCGGCAGCAGGTCTCATGGGTCTAGATATCTACATGGTCAACCTGAACTCCCCACGAATAAACGAGGATAGTCTTGCATCTCTGTTCCAAAAGCTTCCGTACACCTGCATGGTCTTACTCGAGGACATCGACGCTACAGGATTAGCGCAGAGACGTGGCGCGGGTACAGCGACGATGGGGTCTCAAGGACGAAAGAAGAAGAATGCAGAGCGCCTCTCACTTTCAGGTCTATTAAACATAATCGACGGTGCAGCTGCTCAAGAAGGACGGGTTCTCGTCATGACTTCAAATCACACCGAGAACATTGACCCAGCTCTTATTCGACCGGGCAGAATCGACTTTACGATCAACTTCCAGCTCGCTACATCAGAAGCAGCCGAAGCGCTGTTCACTCAAATGTTCGACGCTCCAGATGTTGACCACAATTCGGAGAAGAAGGCAGTAAAGTCTCTGCGGGACCAGGCGAGGGAGTTTAGGGATAAGATCCCCAATCTTACTCTTAGCCCTGCAGCTATTCAGGGATTCCTACTCACGCACCAGGGAGATCCTGATGGTGCTCTTACTGCTGTAGATGAGTGGGTTCAAGATGCTTTGAATCAGAAGGATGTCGTAGTCGAAGAAGCTCTCGAGTCCGAGGATGAAGACACAGACTCTGAAGAGGATGGGGATAGTGATGGGGGCTCTGATCCTTCTTATAGGAAATGAGAAGTGGCTGCAGCTACAGGTATTGGTTAGTTAAATTTCAAAGTGTAAATTATCATTTGAGAGAAAAATTCTTTATTTCGTTCTTGACTTTATTTCTGATTTCAATAAGCTTTAAGTATAATAATGTGTTATTCGCAGTTGACACTTACGGCTGAGAGAACTTGGACGTTATCGTTTGGCCAAAAACAGAGAAAGCTTACAAAATTGCATAAGTAATATAGTTAGTAATAATTTATTATCAAAGAAAACACATATAAGATAAAGTTTCTCTTATGAATCTCAAGTTCTACGTTAGTAATTATACCATCTGCAATGATACTTAATAGAATCATCTCTCCTTCTTATATCACTCTTGTCTTTTGGCAAGGAACGAAGTCCGTCTCCACCTTCATCTTCTTGATTTCCACCCGTTTCATTTTCAATTTGTTGATTTCCAGCCGCCTCATCTTCATCTTCGTCTTCTTGATTTCCACCCGCTTCAACTTCATCCTCCTCGCAATGTGTTCTGTATGCGCACTTCTCTTGGCCTGGAACGCATTCCTCGTCCAACAATTTGCGGTTCTCTGGACATCTACCATTCGTACAGACGCCCTTCTGGCAGTCGTCGTTGCTTTCGCAAGGTGAGCCCGGGGCAAGTATGGGTATGCATAATTTAGGAGGGGTATAGTGAAAGGGATTGTTAATGCACTTCGCAGTGGCATTGGCACTCAAGCTGAGGGGCTGGCTGCATGCATCCTGGATACAGTCTTCTCGCAATGCGTAGAGACATTCTCCGTTGCGCGAGCATTGAAACCCTCTCGCACAGCCGTTCTTTTTTGCAGGATCACAAGGTTTGTGAAGTGTCGGTGCACAAAGAGTTTCCCTGTAGCCCTTTACATGTGAAGGGCTACAGGTTGAGCCCTCGCGACACTGTGGATTGCTAGGGTTGCATTGTTTACCATCCGGAATGCCATCGTCGGTGCAGATGCCGTCTTTGCAATCTCCTCGAAGGCAGTCTAAGCCAGATACACATTTTCCATTTGGAGTGAGAACCGGGAGACACTTGGTCCTGTGACCGCCGTATGGGCCACCGTAAGGATCGTTCTTACACTGAACCGTCGTATCAGGCCCAAGTCCTTCAGGCGTTCCGCAGTCGTTGGATAGACACTCCCCACGAAATGGGTATAAGCATTTTTCTTCTTTCGCAAAGCACTCCAGGTGACTGTGACAACGCTCTATTCCAGGCTTGCAAGATGTTTTTAGGTTCCCAGAGCTCTTTTGGCATTGGCCCCGGACGCAGGGCACGTGGTTTAAGCAGCTTGAGCTCTTCCAGCAACTCCCACCCAGGTCACTGGCTGGACATTTGCCATTCTGCAAGCTATACGGAAAGAGGCAATCGGCTCCTCCCTGGCTGGCCCCTAAGAAATCCGTACAATCGTTGCAGCATTCAACAGTGTGCCACCTGTTTCCCTTGCATTCCTGCCTCATTGGTGTTTGGCCATCTTCATAGTGACACCTAGCAGCGCCATTGCCACAGTCAGGCCATGCGGATGAGAAGGAAGCGATCTTGATTCAAGATGATTAGCATTTTCTGTCTGGCCGCTTGGTAGAATTTCCCTATTGTGAAGATAAATTAGGGTAAGAGTTATACTTAAACATACTAGAACGACAATGACAAATGGGCGCAGAAGGCAGACATGTTTGGGGAGGAATGTCATCGTTTCTCCTAGCACTACGCAGTACTTAATATGTTGCAGTAAAGATTTAAGGTATCGTACTGACTCCAGATATGGCAGGGTAATGGAGAATATTTATAGGAGGTAAAGTACGTCTATGGCATGCAGAAGCCTAGAATATAAGTGCTATTTAAGACATAGCATATTAGACACGTCATACAAGACACGGCATGTAAAACACGGCACATAAAACACAGCATATAAAACACAGTGTTAAGTTCTCTCGACTTTAAGATGCTACATTTTAGACTTACCCTTTTAATATTATAAGGCGGCCAAGTAATATCTTGAGCACCTACAGGGCAGCTGGAGAGGTAAATCAGGCAGCTGGGAGATGTGGCTGGTTTCGAATTGTCATAATTATATAAAGCATTATTTTGGCATGTAGATGTATAGTTCAAAGTCACGCCGCAGCCGGTAAGATGCTTTAACACAATTGCGCTGGCGGCCTAAAAGAAGAGTTATCTTATAACTTTGAGGCCAATATTGCTTTCTATATATGAGTTAATGCAAACAGTAATAATTCTAGGTACTCAAGGCTTATATAGGGAAGAGATCCTAGGTGGCTTAGGCAGGTTTCTTAAGCTAAGGGCAAGTAATACTTAAGATAAACTTAAGGGTTTTCTTACGCTTTAAATATTATTTATAGTAAATAAGGTAAGTTAAATATAGTAATTTAATATTTAAAAGATGTATTAATTATATTATAAATACAGATATCTGTAAATACTTTAGAAAAGGATTATTATAAATTTTATTAAGTTTAGCTCCTTATAGATAGCTAACTACCTTTTTAACTTAAGATATATTCTCTTTAAGTCTTTTTTTCTTAATAGTACTTGAGTCTAGCCCTTAATAAACCCTAGTTATATAGACTTTAATACTTTATATAAGTAATAATAAGTTATTATATTTATATATAAGAAGGATTTTGTAACTTAAAGCTATATGTTTAATTTATTTAGTATATTTAACCTTGACCTTCTACTTGCCCTGCCTGGCTAAGGCAAAGTAGAAAATTGCCTTGGCGCTTACATGCATAACTGACGGGGAATACGTCGACAGATATTATTGGCATTTTACTGTAACCAATGAGAGCCCGACAAAAGGAACATCAGGCTTTTCTCAACATGATATTAGGCAGCAAGGCGTTATGGTTGACCTGCGATATTGAGTATTTCTTTATCTTTGTCAACGCGCCACGTTTGACACATTTGTGGCTTTTCAATACTGGACCTTGCTACGGACCTCGTTAGCGACTATGTCTTCCGAAACTCCGCTCCCTACGCCAGCCTCTATGCTGTACCGACGCGATCTGTATAAGCGGGAAATACGTCTAGCTCTTATCTATAATGGTAAATGGCAAGATCCAATCTCGTGTGTTTTCAAGTATACCAAGATCGAGAGCCATGCACCACTATCTTATTCAGCACTCTCCTACGTTTGGGGATCATCTCGGGCTGCGGAGACTATTCAGATTGATGGACATGACCATAATATCAGCATTAATCTCGCTTGTGCTATTCGTCATCTGAGGGACGAAAGGAACTGTGTTCTGATTTGGATCGATGCATTGGTGAGAATTTTCCAGTCTTTGGCTAAATGTGTAGGATAATAATCAACTTTCATAGTGCATTAACCAACGCGATAATTTTGAAAGGAGTTCCCAAGTTGCAATGATGCGTGACATTTACGCGTCTGCACAACACGTAATTGTGTTCTTGGGTCATGGCTCTTACCATAGGATCCCTAAGAACTATCTAACAGACCCTTTGCTCGCTCCCGTACAATTCTCAAACGACAACCGGGATGACTCCCTGATCACTCAGTTTCACAACTCTTGGGAGACGATGTGCAGACGTGCAGAGTGGTATTCGTTTTGCACTATCTGCGTCATCCGAGCCCTATCAGACCTTGATAGATACAGCACAACGATTAAGTGTATCGCTGACGGAAAGGCTTCGTCTCGGTTAAAACTTTTTGAACTGGTTCGACGATTCATTAACAGTCAATGGTGGCAGCGTGTGTGGGTTATTCAAGAGGCCACAGTTACATCTCAAGTATTTGTTCAATATGGCAATGTCAGAGTACCATGGGAAGTACTTGCGCGCTCTGCGAATACATGTGATAGCCTGGGCTGGGGTCGACAGGATACAGGATCTGAGCTATTCCTAGGCATCGAAAGAGAGCACGCCAAAGTCTTACCAGTGCTTTCGAAGCAGATATTTGAGATCGAACGACTACGTGTGGAGTGGGATGACGGAAAAATAACTACCCTCCTGTCGCTTTTACAAGAGTTCTCAAGTCGCAAAGCCACCGATGACCGAGACAAAGTATTTGCTCTACTCGGCCTTGCAAGGGATATTAAAACTATCGAGCCAGACTATTCGCTGAGCACAGTCCAAGTCTATCGAAGCACTGTCATTGATCTCATCAAGCACAGTGGCTCGCTGACAGCCCTTTCCGGCGATATGAAAAGGAAAAATAGTGGCCATATTCCATCCTGGATCCCCGATTGGAGTGTTGCAATGGAAGAGCCAGATCGTCGGCGCATGCAGCTTGATGGAGCGTACAGAGCTTTCCCCCGTTGGCGGATTGTATTGATCGACCGCGAGGTTGAATACTGGGAGGCTGTGACAAGGGACTTACATAGCCTCTACGAAGAGATAGGAAGCGGGAAAAGGAGACCGATACCAAAAGAGATTGTTGATGGTCTACTGTCCTACGAGAGGATGCTGACAAGAATCTATGGGCCAGAGTTGATGGATTTCGAAAGTCTCGATCCTCCAAAGAAACAGGCCATCGATCGGTGTCATTCAATTTACTGGAAACTTGAGAACGCTGGCCCGCACTTCTGGTCCAGTACATGGATTGCGACACTTATTAACGCATACCTATCCCTACCACCGATACCATCTTCTGGAGAGTTGTACAGACTGGAAATTCTCAGATGCTGCTCGATGATTTACTGCAGAAAGTCCCTTGATCTCTGGCTGAAGAAAGTGCAGTATCTCGAAAGAGAGCGGTACAAAACAAACTTTTTACTTATATCGGACCAAGAGAAAGAGAACATCGTGGCAGAGCATTACGAGCATCCCACTATCGAGACTATTACATCTAGGGATGCTGCTCAGAAGTGGATCCAGGATATGCACAGAACATTTTATACAGTGACAGAACACATCACAGACAAGACTTTTGCTGAGATTTGCCGATCCAGGCCAATCATGCAGGAGGCATTATGGTCACTGACGGTGGAAGCAACTGTCACCCTGGAGAAAGATCGGACTTTAGGAGTTTCTATGACATTCGATTATGATCAGGGAACACCTGCCAGTGGGGGGCTGCTAAATCTGCTTTCTCATCTAATGCATGTGGCTTCAGAAATTCTGAGCCTCTGGACTCGGCCTTTTGTGTTGATACAAGCAGTGCAGCAGGCCAAGGATGCCTGCAAAGGCCTTATCAATTTGCACCGCAACAAGGATCTCAGCGCCAGTGACCATGACTATGCGACCTTGTTTTCAAAAGCTGTTGTTTTCACTGACTCGGTGACATGGATGCGGCATCTTAGGAACAACGGCCAACTAAAAGTATCCCTCTACGACGAACACTTTCTGAGATTTAGGAGTCAAAAACAACATGATGCATTCAGAGAAAGCAAAGATGTCCTTCCTATAAGCTCGAAGTTCATTGCTACTGTCGGCCAGTGTACTGAGAGGCTTCTCACCTGGGTTGATTCGGCCTCCCGCATCCTTACGATCAGTCAGTGGGCACTATGTGCGCAGAACCTAGGGCCAGATTTTGCTATGGATTTTGTCAAAGCTCTCGTTGGTGATATATATGAGGAGTCACCTGTGCAGTTTCGCCGACTTCATCAACCTGAGATCAGACTACTTCAGAACTGGTTTGTAAGTTGTTTACTACCCCAGCTCTGTGATGTGAATCCAGCGGTGCATGGCAAGCTTTGGACGAACCTTTTATCCACGGAACTTGAGCTCGGTACTGAGTTGGATGACATGAAGTTATTCGACACGGAGATGAGGCTCACTACTGAAGGGAGAATTTTCTTTCTGACAACGGACCACAGAATGGGATTTGGGCCAGGATCAATGGTAGAAGGGGATGAGATAAGATATCTGCCAGGTGGTAACAGTCCATTTGTGTTACGGCCGATGGGCAGAATTGGAATCAATTCAGAGCCTTCATATGAAGTTATTGGAGATTGCTTCTGTCTGTTGGAATCAAAGGAAGAGGATAATGGTGAGGGTGGTCTACTGCAAGGATGTCTTCCTGTGGAGATTCTGGGTGAGCTTCTTCCAACAGGTTATAAGTCTGATGACATTCTCTTATTGTAATGGATTTGAAACATAGTTTTATAAGTTTATAATTTTAAGCGTATAGAGAACCTTTCCTTTCATTAACGTTTGTTCAGAGTTAAACAAAGCAGACATGACAATTCGAAATTCAAAACCTGTACTAATTACATAGGCACAGAAATCCCCAGACGCTCCGTGAAAGGACTATTCCAAATCCCCGTCGAGTTCAGCTGCTTATAAACAGCCAACCACCTCCCCGACTCAGGATACATCCTCTCCAAGTCCCCTTTCTTAACAGTATCCAAATCTAACCCCCAATGAACCCTAACATCCTCCCCCTCCTCCCCCTCACACAGCTCCTGTCTCATAAACTTCAACAGCTCCTCCCCTGTCTTGACCCCAAACAACATATCCATCTCAACCATCATCGTCGTCCTCCCCTGCTGCGGTGCCAAAAACGCACTAGACTCTTTAACAAACCGCAGTGCAAACGGCCCTGCCAGAAACCACTTCTTCTCATTAGCTGCCTTCTGGAACAACGCAAGGATACGGTCAACGATAGAGACTATGTCTTGATTGGCGTCGAAGGATAGCTCCATGGCGTAGGCTTTCACGTCGTCGACGGCGCCGATGTTAAGGACTTTGAAGCTCTTGTCGATGTAGTGCTTCACGGGGAGGCTTTTCATGGCGGTGGTGATTATGCCTGGACTGTGAAGCGGCCAGCGGTTGAGGATCCAGACGAGGATGTCTTCGACCCAGTGGTGTTGGGCGAGGAGGCCGGCGAGCCAGTTGTCGAAGCCACGACCGCCTTCACGCTTTGTAGCTTTTGAGCATGTACGAATGGTTGTAACGGCGATGTTTCGGCCAACTGTCTGATAAGGGTTTAGATCAATCTCGAAGTAGTGATTCTGCAGAGGAGCAGATGCAAGACCCCCTGCGAGTTGGGACTTGTAATCTTGCCAAGTCGTCAATGCCCGCACTTCGCTCAGGAAGAACGTTGGTACCACTTCGATGATGTAAGAGTAGACAAGACCGAGGCAGCCCATTGCGATGAGAGCTGCTTGGAACCAATCATCATCCTGCTTGAGCTCCTGAGCGTCGCCCGGGACGAACTTGGCAGGATCTGTGATGCCATCCTTTGGCTCAATCTGATAAACCTTTCCAGTCTCAGAGACAAGTATAATAGCTCGAACAAGGCTGGCTAGGTTTCCAGAATCTTTGCCACTGCCATGAGTGCCGGTTGTGATAGCTCCGACAAGAGTCTGTCCATCATACGCTCCCATAGTCGCAAGAGCCTTACCCATCTTGTCAAGCTGCGAGTTCAAATCTTTGATCGTAATGCCACTCTCGACAAGAACATGATCCGAAGCTTTAGAGGGTTCTTTCAAAATCTCAGAGTTCAGCTTTAAGAACTTATTCATGCCATGAGGATCAAGAAGAATCCCATCAGTAGGACAAATGTTCGAGAACGAATGTCCCGAGCCCACAGCTCTAACATTCAGTTTCTGCTCTCTACCATCCTTGACAGCTTGGACAAGGTCTGGTAAGCCCTTGGGGTAGCGTAAGGACTTGGGCGTGCACTTTTGTTGACCGATGCAATTGGCCCACGAGTCCTTTGGGGGAGGCCGGGGTCTGAAGAACTCTTTGCCAGACTTGGGAGCCCCCTCGATGGAATCTTTGAGGTTTTTGATTTCTTGGAATAGATCCCCGTTCAGAGATGGGTCAATTGTTCGGCGGTGTATTTCCTCCGCGAGGGCAGTGTTTGTTCGATCATGGTCAAACTTTTGAACGAGCTCAGCTGCGGACAGATTTTGGGGATCCATAATATTCAGTGGTCAAAGGCAATATTTAATAAAGAGAAGCGATAATATTATTAGGGAAGAAGAGCCAATCTTTGGGCTCTTTATAGCAGATTCGTGGCTTTCTCTTGGGCTTTGCCCAAAGAATGTGAAGTGGTCGACTGAGACATATTGACCGAAGCTCCATTCCTCATTGGATGAATATACGGCGACTACGCAAGCCACAGCCGAACTAGCGATTCGGCACTTCTAAAAACGGGGGGGACTGCAGAATCTACAGCTGTCTAGACCATTATATGGGTCATCTGCGTGTCTGAGGTTTTAGAAAGCTGAAAACCCATGCAAAGTCATCACATTCGAAGGCTTTTGATCACAAGCCAGTTGAATGTCTAACTATTTGTGGACATTCAGCTTCCAAAGAGGTGCTTTATCTGTGACTGTGTGGCTGCTGATTGCCTGATTCGGAACGGCTGAATAGCTCAGCTCGCCACATTGAGACCCCAGTGTCAGACATGCACACCTCCAAGTTGCTTACTCTAAATGCCTGATAAAACAAGAAAAGTGATCTTAGCGAGGCACTGGGTTTTCTGTACTGATTTAAGCTCTCAGCCACAACTCTTCAATAGCCAAATCTGAGGATGTCCTCTTCTAAAGCTGGCCTAAAGGTACCGTGTGTGTTTACAACTAGGACCGCGAAGATAATACTGGTTCCATTGAGGACTCAACTCATTTTGATTATCGAGATCATAGTCTCATCGTCTGAATAAAATCATATACAAGAAGTATTAATCCACCAGGCCCAGCCCAGCCCAGCCCAGCCTCATTACTGCTGTCCATTAAACCCCGTAAACCCATTAACGCCATTTCCTAGTGTATCAAAACCAGGATATATCTGCCCCCAATTCACAAACTCCGTCTGCGGCGTCATACCCCCGGTGGGAATAAGTTGCTCAGGCATCATCTGCGGATACATAACCCCATTATTCCAAGCCTGCACATCCGCCCCATCCATCCCCATCATCAGCCCCTCAAACCCAGTAGCAGGGACTACCTCATTAACCGTCTCAGGAACTTGACTTCCCCGCAGCGCAGTCCTAACAGTCCGCACACTATCCCTATGGCCAAGCATCACGCTACCGCTCTCTTCAGACCCATCGTCCATTACAACGCCGGAGTCAGGGCGAGGCATGATACCACGGGGTTTGCGAATGCTTTGTGTTGTTTGGGAGCGGATTATGTCGTTCTTTTTGTTGCTGCGGTTTGTGTAGGGCATGCTTTGGGCGTTGGCGATGCATTGGTCTAGAGTCTCGACGAAGCACTGATAGAATTTTGTAGAGAGAGTTTCGAGGGTGGCGGGGTTGGAGATTTTGTCGAGGAGGGAGTATTTGAGCTGGTCGAATGCCTCACGGTACTTGGCTTCGACTTCGAAGTGCTCGATCACAGGTGTGTATTCTGCTGAAGTCAGCTGTGTTCTCGCAGATAATGACTAACGGATACTCACCGTATGGTCGAACATCACTATCGTCGTCATCGGGAAACACAATGTTCCAGATCTCTTTCCACTGAACCTCAGGTGAAGTACCGCTCGCTCTCTTTCTACTCAACAGCTTTGTGGCAGTCTGAGGATCAATACCACTCTCAGCATCCGCATCAGCGATATCACACATGTATTCTTTTGGTAGGCGCTGATGATCACGGAGTTCTTTGCGCGTGGGAAAGTCACGACTACATCGATCGCAGACGAAAGCAGATGGATCGTCGCGCTTGTGCTGCTTGACTATGTGTTGCCTTGGAAGCGTTAATAACAGTTGAACGTGAGATTATGGTTACTAACCTTAGCTCTGCGAATTTTGGAAAATAGGTCATCGCGCAGCTATGATGATCCCTCACGTTGAAACGATGAGGATTCCTCTTTCGGAACGGACAGCTCAATCGAAGATTCTCATCTTCCTTGGGATTCGGTCGTGAGCGCTTTGTGGGCAAGTATCCTGACCCTTCACCATCGCTAAACTCATCGCCGTCCTCTTCACGTCTACCTTGCTTCTTCCTCTTTCCGCCCCGACGATCGCCATTAGCGTCCTGGGAGGGTGTAGAGGAAGAGCTTGACGTTGACATGGTGTGCGACAATTGGCCATCTGGAGCAGATTGCCAGATATGCTGGCTTATGTCCTGCGTGAAGTTGGATACGAGGCTTTGGACCTTGTCTTGCGGAATGGAGACGTCGTTGAGGTCGACGCCGTAAATGACTTGAAGTGCGTAATTGAGCACTGAGTTTGCATCCTCTTGCGACACTTCTTCCGAATCATCTTCACCATCATTAAAAATATGATCCGTACGATGCGACTCTGTTGTTGGCGTAAGAACCCTTTCCTCCTTAACAAACGACTCTGTACTGGGGCTGCAAACGTAAGCGACACGATCGCACGGAACCATCGGAAGACTCACCTCGCAGGCCTAAGCTCTTGAACAGCAGGTCTTCCATGCACCTCATTCAAATTTCTAATCTTGATATCGAATTCAGGATATCCCGTAATAATCGCATCATCATCCTCATTAACAAACGTCGAGCAAGTTCCGCTCGATGGATTATGTCGATGGCAGATACGACTCGCAGGTCTCGATCCATCCAGCGTCGCAGCAGCAAACTGCTCCTGGATCGAGCTCGCATACGTGGTACTTATCGGACTCGCCAGCGTAGAAAGCGAATGCGTCGTCGCAGAATCAGGAACATTTGCTGAAGAAATACTACTCATCGACGACTCCGTCGGCGATCTGAGACGAAAAGCCCCGGGGGTAAAGTGCAAGCTCTCAGGGACCTTTTTGCCATTTCGTTGGTTTAAAGAGGGGAATTTGGAGAGTGGTGCGTCTCTCATGCGCAGAGGAAGATGGTGAAGACCAGCTTCGCCGATGTGGTTATTATCTCCCATTTTTGCGATGCAGTTTAAAAAAAGAAATGGAGAAATTCTGGAGGCGTCTGTTAGTTGCGTGGTGCATAAAGGCTGACGCCATTGAAGATGTTTCGGAACTTACAGGGTGAGATTAAAGGGATATTTTATGCAAAGTTGCAATACAGATGAAACAAGGTCAAAGGAGCGTTGACGACGATTAAAGGAGTGAATTAACCCGGCAGGTTTGACAATGATTAATGATTGATCAAGTGAGAAACAGAAGGGCATAAGCAGACAGTGTTATATTAATGGAAACAAGGGAGACAGACAAGTCGGACATCCGTTTCACCTCATCTCGCTCTCTCCCTCTCGCACAGGTTGCCTCGCCTGAAGCCTGCAGCCAAAAAGTCCTAGACTGTCGATCTAATTGGCAAGGCCGTTTTATTCTGGTCCACTGCGCTGGTATGAATGGGGTAAGACTCGAGATGATCCTTGATGACAGGGGGCTCTGATTCGCTCGTGATGGCCGTTGTTGCATGGGCTGTGTTGCTTGTTTTCCAGGCACCAGAAAATGGACTCGATGAACTGATCAGCCCTATCCGTACAGTTCCAGCGGTTCCCTGTGGTTCGCTCACGGGTAGACGTTGGGGGCTGATGCCATCGTGTTCATTTCACATCCCCAGGCTGAGTCTGACGTGCTGTCGCTTATCGAATGCAGATGATGTGGCATTGTCGCTTAAATCTGTGAGTAACAGTAACGACGCACAGCATAATGCAAGCAATTTACTAATTTTGATCTACTTTTCAATGTGACGTCTGTTGAAAACTTGAGCTACCTTCTCCCAGTGGGACCCATGTATCATAAGAGTAGCTTCAACCCTCAACTCACTCTCCAATCTTCAGAATCTCAGCAGCCCTCAAAACAGCCTTCGCGCTCCTCTGAACCCACTCCTCAGCCTGCGTCAAATTTCCCTGATCCAAGCTATCCTGCACCGCTGGAAAAACATCCGCGCCATATCCGCTATCCAGCCCCGGCGCACTAACAACATTGTAAAACGAAAACCTACCCGGCAGCAATCCCTCGCTCGCAAAGCCTCGACTAAACGCCTTGTACGCTGCATTGACAGCACTCAACAGAACAGTATCATTAAGAGCGAGCGCTTGCTTGGCTAGCGTAGAAATGCGCTTTCCTGCTTCTTCAAAGGAAGATACTGCCGAGGAGAGGGGCGTGAGATCAAGCTCATAGGAGGGGAAGCGGTCGGTGAGCTTTTCTTCGAGATCTTCAAATATGTCGCGCAGGGCAGTTCCGGCGTGGGTGAGATCAAAGGGGATGAGGGGATCGTCGGCGATGTGGTATGTTAGGAGAGTCACGAATTGACCCATTGCTACGTGGAGATGGAAGCCTGGATCTGCGTATTCACTCATCCAGCGATGCGTATCGTAGAGACTGGGTTATGTCAGTTGATTCATGGCAAGGCCAATGGAATGCGTACGTATGGTATGCGTAAACAGCATCTTTAGGACCAGGGCCTCCAGCAATATCAAGCTATAAAAGGTCAGTCACATCCCCTGTCAGATCTTCCGTCACACTTACAGAAGTGATACCGTTGTGATAGAAAGCAGCATAGTCACTACCACTTCCCATAGCAGGCAGAACACCTTCGGTAGCATTGTACCACGCATCATACAACGTCGGTCCAGCTCCATAGCCCTCAGGAAAGATGATCTTCTTCATCGTCTCAATAGCAATGGTCTGGATCTCACCTGACCCAACAATCTCCGCTCTCGGACCAGAAACAGCTGTGTCGAGGTTGATATACGCAACTGTCTTTTCAATAAGTTCAGGAAGATGGTCCTCAACCCATTCTGTGCTTCCCATGAGACCAAACTCTTCAGCATCCCACGAAGCTAGAATACTGCTCTCGTTAGTTTCATCTTGTGTTGGGTTTGGATGACTTACATTGTTCGACGAGGCTTCCATCCGTTCTCGACGAGCTTCCCAAAAGCCTTGGCCATCTCAATAAGCAATGCGCCTCCCGACACAGCATCCGCCGCACCACCAGCCGTCCAGCCATCTCTATGGTTCCCGATAATAACATATTCATCTTCATTCGTGCCATTGATCGAAGCAATAACATCCCATGCCGGTTCAAGTCTCGTATCCATGATATTCACAAGATTAAGCGTAGCTCCCGGTGCAGGGCCACTATGGTACGTAACGTTTGAAAAGGCGCCCTTGTAGTTAGTTCTGTTTACTGTTTCAGAGGAGAGGCCGTGGTTGTCGAGAGCGTGAAGGAGTTGAAGACCGTCGCGGGGGGAGATGGGGATTGATGGGATAGAGGGCCCGTAGGGGGTTATGTCAGCGCGGGGAGAGTCTTTATGAGAGGCGTAGCCGATTGTTGAGGGGTCTCCGAAGGAGAGGGAGCCCCAGCGGGTGCTGCCTCTTTGGATGGATGAGGGGTGGCGAGCAGGGCCGTCTGGAGCTGTCAGTGTATGTTGATGTCTGGGTATCCTTCATGCTGACCTGGGTAGGGAAGATAGCCGTTGGCTTCTGTAATCTCACCGTCCTCGAGAGGGTCTGTGTAGAGAATAGTCCCAATCATGCCGTGAGCCTACTATGAATCCGTAACTGACTCTCCACAATCTGTTGGTAAGAACTTACCTCGGCGTTCTTGATCTTGACTCCGCGGTTTGCACCGCCATACTGAGCCAGAGCAATCTTTCCCTTCAGCTCAACACCAAGATCCTTAAGTTTCTGATAATCCTCCCTCGAACCACGACTATACCCCAGAGTTAGCCATGCAAACAGTACCTCGTCATACATATTCTTACCCCACGTAAACATATTCAGCACTGACCCTCCCACTGCCAGAAAGTGCATGGTACGCAACCTGCTCATTAGGATTCCTCGTCTGCTCATCAACATCCAACTTATCCTCCAACCGCTGCACCTCATGCACACTCCCATCAGGCCTCTTCAAACTAAGCGTACTCTCAATTGGCTCCGTATACGTGATCCAATACTCATCAATCCATGATTCCCAACCTGCGTCAATCCACTTCTTCTGCGTCCACTCTGCTTGAGACCTGTTATGGCCTGCGAGACGATAACCAGAGGTATAGTAGAGTGACCAGTCTGAGATAGAATTGTTGTCGAAGGAATTGACGAGGAGAGTTTCGACTTCGGTGAGTACGGGAGGAAATTCAACGACGTCGCGCTTGAGGTGACGACTTTGAGATGTACGTGCCGAGCGACGGGCTCGAAGAGCGGAGAGTTCATCCTTGTCGGGTAGACAAGCGTATACACACGCCGCAGCAACAAGACAAGTAGCCAGATTCCTCGCCATGATTCCCAAGATTATTTCAACAATCGTAAAGGAACTACTTCAGAGCATACCGTAGAGAACTACATCATATTTATACTACCCCTCCAAAGCATGCTTGGCACATCTCGTGCGGGGGATTTCAACTTACACCCAGTCACGATAAGCTAGCGCTTACACCGCATCTCTGAAAGAGGAATGTCCAAGTTCACGAGAGTACGGCATTACTGCGAGGTTCACGATAAGATGTTGCGTCATACGATGAGGATTTGCTTGGCTCTGGTTGACCTTCCATGTTGGGCCTCGATCACCGTGTAGCGTTGTATTGTGATGGTGCGGGGTTGAGGAACTTTTTCAATAGTCCGATGATTCCGTGAGTTTATTGTGTTTAAGCTTGTTTTTGAGGTGTTTATCGTGTGAGCTAGACCCGGTTTATGCTTGCTAGACATCTGGATTGTTTATTAGGCTGTTCTTCGTTGTTGGGAGGCCCTCGATGTCCCGGCAGGGTGGTCATCTATAAGAACCACGCAGGACACTTGCAGGTGAGTGTCACTAGAGGCTAGGCCGGGGAGATTAAGCAGCGTATTCCAATTAATAGATTGAGTGTCATTGGTGAATGAAAAAAGTCGATATATATACATAATATTGAACACTTGTCCATTCCACGTTAATCACCAACGGTTCTTCAATATCCAGCGCCAGACTTGACCTGCGAACTATTAGAACAAGCTCATAAACGTCGCAACAGCCACAAGTGTAAGACCAAGCCCCCCAACTCGCATCTCGCCAGCAGCATTTCTATCATCCGCGGCCTTCTTCTCAGCGGGTTGTCGTACCTTTGTCAACGTAACATTGAAAGCAGGGCTCTTTACTGCCTCACTAACACCCTCCTCACCCTCAACAAAAACAAACAGATCAAGCGGTAGGTAATCGTATACCATGCGATCTTGTTGGAACCAAGTCTGGCATGCTCCATCTTTGAAGAATAGTTGGCTGTCGTACTCTGCGTCCGCGGTAGAATTCGTACGGTCGAAAACAGCGCGCCATGCTGTCTGGCCCTTCTTGCTGAGGTTGCTGGGATACATTCGGGCGTCGACATACGGAGTCTCTGTGGAGGCGTTGGACTCGAGGGCGTTGAAGTTGTAGTTTCCGATGTTGTTTAGGACATCGAAACCACGGACCTGCCAGCTCTTGATCTTGAGACCAGGTCCGCTGTCCATTGCGAATGTAATAGTTGAGTTGGTATCCTTGTCCTCGTAATCACCTGCAAAAGCCTCCTTTGTATCATCACGGCCGACCTTTTCGATAACGGGGAGGAGATTTTGGAGCACTTTGCTGAGGATGGTGCCGGTGACGAAGGAGTTTGCAGACGCTTCGAGACCGCCGGTCATGATAGAGATGACGATGTCGTAGTCGGGAATGAGGACGGTCTGAGAGTGGTATAGACCGAGATCACCGCTCTTGGTGTAGATGTCGATGAGACGGCCATCAGAGGTGATGTTGTCACCGCGGAGGATCTCCCATGGACCGCCGACTTGGTAGCCCCATGAAGCGGTGTTGGCCTCTGGCTTCATCCACTTGCGGGTTTGAACGGGTGTGAGGAACTTGTTGCTGAGGATGCCATCGGCGAGGAGAAGCATATCAGAGACAGAAGAAAATATGCCACCAGCACTGATACAGTCAGTCAAAGTTATTGTACCGAGATGTTTGACTTAC